AAAGTTTTCCTTTAGTGAAATGTCATCAGTAAACAAATAGCCAGGACAGATCATGGCTTTATACATTGATCAGAAAAAATTGATCATTTTAAACCCTTGGTCATGGTCAAATATTTGCTTTTGCACTTCTGATGTTCGATAGAGATCAGTTTTTGGAATTTAGTGTGTGATGGGGAAGATGAATTGGATTAAGATATATTACAGAAGAGACTCCACTGTCTTGGGATGTCAAAAGGTTTTCCTTTGTGAGTTGTCATCAATATAATATCCTTACTATATTTTATATTTACACTCGTTACAGAATAGATTAAAATACTACACTGTGATCATATGGATAAAATTTAAAACTAACTCACATAAGCCCTTCAGAAACTTCATACTAGTATATAAGATTATGCTATAGGTGTTTTTGTTAGATAATTATAAGATTACAATCTGATTAGATCATTAGATTTAAGGTTCTGTGGATAAAACTGGATCATTCTTTTTCGTCTGGTGTTGTCTCAAATAATCCACTTTCCATCATCAGTTTCATACTGACGTATCTAAACTATATAGTTAAGATTAGGTTATAGATGATCCAGTTCTAAAACCATAGAACAATTACCAGTATAATCATAGGACCGATATTAGAGTTAGTCATGATGGGAATCTTGCATAAGATTAGTAATTTTGAATCTACTGGCTGTAAATGACTCCTTGTGTCTTCACAATATCATGTTTTATATTATTTTGTTGATCTCATCAATATCATTATCGACTGAGCCAGGAAAATCAATACATTTATTAATCGAAAGATTTTTTAAAAAATTTGTCAACTTTCATATATCTTCTTAAAACCTGAATGAAATATCCAAATGCAAGTTGCCCTAATAAATTATTAAAAAAAAACTATAGTAACTCGATGTAGTTAGGAAATCCTGACATAAACTTAAATACAGTTTAGCAATAAAATATTAGTTCAATATAAAATTACAAATCAATACGAAAACAATCCGAAAGCGTTTTTTTAACTAAAAAATATTTTGTAAGCACTACAAGGACATCAGATTAGGGTTTTATACTATAGATCAGAAAAATTAATTGGCAAAATAGCGATTTTTTCTAGATCCTATTGTGTAGTGGTCAAAGTGCCAAGATAATACATAGAGGATTTAGGTACAAATTGGTATTTCATTCAGTTAATTACCTGACAGAGCCTGGGTCAACAGCGGCGTGTTATTATTTGGGGTCAACTGGCCATTGGTTAGATCAACTGAAATAAAAAACAGAAGCTTCATTAAAATCTTAAAAAACTTTCTTCGGTATCAAAAATTTTAAAAGTCAATCTAATCTAAGATGATTAATTATATAATTCTAATAACTTATATTAAAAATATTATTTTCTAAATTAGTTTTTGTATGTATTCACAATACTAAATCGGAGCTTAGGACCATTTTAGCCCAAACTTTTGGCCAAGGGAATCCAAAAAATGGATTTTCCTGTTTTGTTTGGGTTAAATCGGTCGTACGCTTCGAATCCACTAACAATATTAAAAATACATGCTTTTAATAAATAGATATTTTTTTAAGTGTAAAATAGTTTTTGTAAACATATACAATAAATATGAAACTAATGCTAATTAATTGATTAAAAACTTAAGCCTAGACTTAAACTATAAACTATTTTATATATAATATTTTTATAACGCCTAAATGCTATTTTGCAAAACATATATTTTTGTTTATTTTTATTTTTTTGACATTGAAAAAATTTTGAACTATTTTCTTTATAAATCTAGAAAAAATGAACTATTGTTGCTACTTCAAATAAATTCTAAGAGTAAATTTATAAAATAAATATTGATATTTTTTGTTTATAAATATTTTCTTAGCTAAAACTACGATATGTGTGAAATGTTGATTAAATTAATTGAGATTTTGTGTGAGTGTGGCATCGTGTGGCAGTGATGCTCAGAGATTTTAAATAAACTACTAATATGTTAGGTTTAAAAATAAATTTTACAAAAAGTACGAGTATTATAAATATAAAACCAAATATTTTTCTAACAAATATCAATTTCGGTGAAAATATTCAACTAACTTAATACCATAGATTCAGGCAGTTATCTGATTTTGTCAACATTGTTTTTTCATGGTCAAACAATAAGTTTCGCTATTTTTTTGCTTATTTCTACACGTTTACTATTCTTTTTGATAATAATATATAAGTAATAATATATAAATAAGTTTTTAAACTAATAAACATCTACATTATATAGCTTTATTATATATCTACATCTACATATAATTCTAAAAAATATTTTCAGTATATATTCTATTAATAATTGATTATTAACTTACTTAAATAGCAGTCCGCTTTATTTTCAATGAAAATCAATAAAATATATGTTTGGCAAAACAACAAATAATTCAACAATACTTATTGTTAATATATTAATTAATATATATTTATATATTATAATTTTACATTAAATTCTTTTTAACAATAACATTAAGAATATTTAACAAAACTGACAGTTACAATGCAAATACTTATATAAATAAATAATACTGGATGGACAGTTTTTTTTTCCTTATAAATTATTGTTAACAAAAGAAACTCTTAATGTAAGAACAAAATTCTCTTATTTTTACAAAATATTTTTTAGTTATAAAATGCTTTCGGATTGTTTTCGTATTGATTTGTAATTTTATATTGAACTAATATTTTATTGCTAAACTGTATTTAAGTTTATGTCAGGATTTCCTAACTACATCGAGTTACTATAGTTTTTTTTTAATAATTTATTAGGGCAACTTGCATTTGGATATTTCATTCAGGTTTTAAGAAGATATATGAAAGTTGACAAATTTTTTAAAAAATCTTTCGATTAATAAATGTATTGATTTTCCTGGCTCAGTCGATAATGATATTGATGAGATCAACAAAATAATATAAAACATGATATTGTGAAGACACAAGGAGTCATTTACAGCCAGTAGATTCAAAATTACTAATCTTATGCAAGATTCCCATCATGACTAATTCTAATATCGGTCCTATGATTATACTGGAAATTATTCTATGGTTTTAGAACTAGATCATCTATAACTTAATCTTAACTATATAGTTTAGTTACGTCAGTAAGAAACTGATGATGGAAAGTGGATCATTCGAGACAACCCCAAACGAAAATAATGATCCAGTTTTATCCACACAACCTTAGATCTAATGATCTAATCAGATTGTTATCTTATAATTATCTAACAAAAACACCTAGAGCGTAATCTTATATACTAGTATGGAGTTCCTGAAGGGATTATGTAAGATCGTTTTAAATTTTATCCATATGATCATAGTGCAGTATTTTAATCTATTCTGTAACGACTCTAAATATAAAATATAGTAGGGATACTATATTTTATATAAAATAGAAAGCAGCAGAAAGAAATCCATCATTTTCTTTTATGTCTCCTATTTCATCAACAAACTATTTGAAATTATTTGAGCAAGAATGGATACGTTATGTGAATTGTAATTATTGTAACTGATTACCTTTAATTTTATGGAAAAGTGATGCATTTCTTTCCTCTACATTCGATAATTGATAGATGTCAGATTTTACCTTACATTTTTCTGCTACAAGTTGTACTTTATCCTAAAAGATTTCTACAATAACTATCCTAGTCTGTGGTTCATCATGTGTCACAACTTTTATTTATAGTTTTTGCTTCTATGGTTTGACCTATTGGCAAGTTCTTTGCACCATATATAGATTTTTGGAATATTTTTAAAACAATTATCTAAATATTATAATAATTAAGAGGCTTAAGAAAACAATCGGTTTGATCGATGAAAGTAGTAGCAAATTATTTTGAAATTTAATAATTAATTCGGAAAATATTCAGGAAACAATTAAATCAGATATCAAAGCTGCTATCTGTTTGGTGAATTAGAAATTACTCTTCAGTCGTCTAAGACATGTCAGTCCCAAATATTGGACTAAATGACTATATTTAGATTAAATAAGCTCAAAATAATAAGATTCATCATTATATCCGATTACTGAATCATATACCAAAAGAAAGCGTTTTTGCGACTAATGTGATCAAACCAGATGCCCAAAAATATTCTGGTTCTTCTGGTGCTCATATTCTACAATAATTGTTTTACAAATGCATTACATGAATCCTGTCCTGTATCATTATCGGAAGGATCCTCAGCTGGGCAGCCGCTGCCGGCTGATGAAGACCCCTCGAAGGCGCCTGATGGTGGTCTATTATGGCTGAATTGGCGATGCACCAATATTTCCCAATATTTATTTTCAATTGAATCAATTGTATGATAAATTAAAAAAAAAAAGCGACTTACCGGTAGGATAGGGCAGGCCGAAGCTAGGATAACCGGAGTAGCCCCTTCCGGCTGCGTAGGCGGCGTAGGCTGCTGCAGGAAAACCTAAAGGATAGAAGAAATATAATGATCAGAGATATGGACTCTAAGCAGGGCATAGGCGATACTGCTTCAAATTTGGAAAATAATGTAGAAGATGAAATGAACCGACTAGAATTGACACAAATAGATGGAAAAGTGATGCAGAAAATTGAGGGATTTGTATGTGGTTACACATGATAATGCGGAAGCAAAGAAACAGAAAATTTGAAAAGTAAAAAGTGAACTATAAATGTGGTGTCTTTGAACAAAAAATAAATTAAAGTTATTACTCACCATCAGGTAGTGCTCCCAAAGACCACATAAAATCTGCAAAAAAAATGAAAACGAATATTAGATAAACATTTGGATTTGGATTAAAGACAATCTAGTTCTACTAATCATCTAACTAGTTCTAATTTCATATTTTATATATCTCTGCATCTATTCGTCTTTTAGAGTAGATTTTTGTCTAAATCATCTAAAAATAATCCATCTATGTAAGATTATCTACATTTTATAATTATCTATACTAAACTACATCACATGACCTGAAATATAAATAATACAATGATAGTATTTAGATAAACCTGAAAAAAATGAATAAGTTAATATGAAAGTATCTGAAAAAAATCGACAAAAGATTTTGGATACGACATTAGATGACGTAGTTATTTTCTTTAAACGGGGGAAAAATTGGTTAAAAGCTGAAGATTTTTAAATATTTTGGACCTGCTGAGATTTTTTAAGTATCGATTCTTTGGTGAATTGAATTTGTTTGGTCAAAGTTGGTCTATTTTGGATAAAACCTAGGTATACAAAGTTAGAAATGAAAAAAGTTCATATTAGTTAAATTAACTACAACATTTCAAATCCTTCAAAAAGATTCGCAAGGTTGCATCTACTTTCTACAATATTCAGAAATCTGCTTTTGTTTTTAAACCAGGGGCTGTGATCGAGAAACTATAAAATTCTATAAGCAAATTTTCAACCCTGTCGGTCCACCAGCAAATTATTTTCAACCCTTATGACGTCATCTAATAAATTTTAACTACAATAACTTAAGTAATAGTGCAAAACTAATTTTTGCACACTATTTAACACATGTAACTACATTTATAATATAGTAGACACACTTAATATATATCTAAAACCTTTGAACCTGAAATTTTTTCTACCTTGAACTATTTTCAATTTTTTTAAACTAATCCTGATGTAAACTTATGTTCTAAAATAGTGTAAAATAGTAAATTGTATTAAAATTTAAAATTAAGACGAATTCGAGGGAAAATAAGCTTTAATATTTATTTATTACTATTTTTAGTATGCGGTATTATTATATAAATATATTTTTTATATATTTATAAACAAGATTGGTTAATTTTTTATATATTGATTACACTATTTTAGTTAACAGGATTATTTTTATTTCATAATGACAACACACATCAATTTGTATCTAAAACAGCTAAATTTTGTTCAATATTTTTAAATACTAAAGACAACTATGTTTTAACTATTTGTTAGTTTAGTAAAGTGTTTTAAGTATGAACACTTTTTTCACTAACTAAGACTTAATATGTCTAAATTGTTTTACATTAATAATATTATATAAATATTAATTTTTGTTAACAATAACTAATTTGTTGTTGACTAAAAAAATACAAAATTAGTTTTCTAAATCTAAATGTCTAAATATTTATTTTTGTTAGTATATTTTGATAAATTTTTAATTTGGCTATTGCGAGTCGAACTCATACATCGAGAATAATAAAAATATTTTAAAAAAAATAAAATATATATAACTTTTAGTTTTTTTTAACCCTCGGTGCACGAGTTTTTCT